TTTGGATTTGGATTTGGATTTGGTCAAATGATCGATTGATTGATTAATTTTTTGGACCAAATTTATTTGTTAATAGTAAATATTAACGTAAGATTATCCGTATTTGTAACGGATATTTTCCAATCCGTGTATTGATCATTTGGCGGCCGGATAATGGTCTTCCCACCATGAATGTGCTTACTCCACAAACATGAAGTGCTTGCTTTACAAACATGTAATGCTTGCTCCACCATGGAGGGTGGACGTTTAGTCTTCTTCAAAATTTTGCTGCTATATATATGTGCAGCAGATGTTGAAGAAAGACACTCAACACACAACACACAATTCGCTCAACAAATTGGCTATACATTTGCACTCCTTCCTCTCAGCATTTCCATACGATTTTCTGAGTTTATACTCCTTCGTTCTGCATTGTTTTTAACTTCAAACAAAGCAACTGTAAGTGTGATTTGCTACCGAACTTTGTGTTCGCTGAAACACTGGGGTTTGAAGTACCGCTACACCAGTGTGTTATTCGTTCTATCCTGGGAGGAAATAATCCATTACCTTGGGTACTAGGAGGGGATTAAATTCCTTAAGGAAACACTGTGAATTCAGTGGGCTCGAATTTATTATTGTTTCATTACGTTAACTTATATTTTGCAGAATTAATATTTACAAATACAGCAATATTGGCGGGGAATAACATATACTAGTGATTAGTACAGCATCAGAACTTTATACACATCATACAAACAAGAGCGCAGATTAGCTCGTAAAACACTAAAGGCAACAAATTTAATAAACAAATTGAGATTGAAACATATATAGAATCAAACAATACAAAGCATTTTAACCTAATTCACGAATTGATTTTAACATTAAAAATCACCAACGGAATACAATAAGATTCTTGCCTCGGGAGAAAGAGAGCGTGAGAGAAAACGACCGGAAACTTAAAAACTGGATTTTGCCGGAGATTGAGATCGGGATGAGCAAAGTTTGTGAAGGAGGACGGTGTCAACTTTGGCCAAAGATATAGCTATAACGTAAATATGAATCGGAGGCGAATCGCGGTTTTTTGTGGTATCACAACAAGGGTCGAATCTAGAATTTGCCAGCTTGTTGTACTGTTCCAGAAAGATCTAGACTTTTTTTATCGGATATGGTTTCATGGGTATTCGGGTCACCACAACCCAGTCCAATCCACATTGACGTTGTTGCCGGGTTTGTAATTTATTTGATTGTAAATATATTTTCCTTTTTGTGTTTATAAATTATGATTGTGGGCATGTTCCTCCTAATGTATAACTAACTTTCTCTCCTCCTTTTCTCTTATTTTCTTCTTTCATTCTCCTTCTCCTTGTAGGAAATGAGTCATTAGGACGTTGATTTGTTCTTTTTCAAGACTTGCTTGAGGTTATAACATTAATTATGTAAGCGAATCACTTGTGAAATATTCTATAGTCGTGTAATTATATATCAATGACTAACCTTTTAGAAAATCAGTTAACGCTCTACAACTCACTCTTTCAAGCATATTTGATTATCAATTAATTTTGATGAGAGTGAAAGTAAAAAACACTAGTATTGTGCATTCACATATAGTGACTATGTAAAAATCGTTTAGTGTCGTATTACAAGGCTATGCTTGAGACCCATTCATTGATCTATGAAGACCGATATAGCAAGGTATTCATTATAAACCTTAACGATATAGTATAAACATGATTAGATTTTTAATATTCCATTCCTCGGTCATCTAGCAAATTCGACTATAAATCGTATTCAGCAAATGCGACATGCCCACTTCTCCATGTGAAATCTTCATCTTCATAAGAGCTTTTTAAGAGTAGTCGTGATCAACATTGGCTTGTTAGTAAGGCGAGAGTTTCAAGCCCAATTTCAGGTGCACACCCTCAACACAAGCAACGTCCGACGAAGGGGAGTGAGGAAAGCTACATGCCCAAAACCTTTGATTTTTCTTTCCAAATAAGGTGTTGAGGCACCTCATCTTCTCAATACATCGCATTGGTCGGATGCAACGTATAATCGCAAAATGCGTATTATAAATTGCAATTGAAAATGTGACTTATATGGCAGAATACGACATACAAATCGCAATAGCATAATGAGACTTATAAACCACTACTGGAAAATCCGCTTATGGCAACGCATGGAAGATCGTTGCAATAGACAGGTAAACTATTGCCATAGAGCTATTGCAACGGAGTAGCGCCCGCTCCTCGCGCGCCAATAGAGCTTAAGGAGCGGTTTTTGCAACGATTCACATAGCGGTTGCTATAAATGGGGTCTATCACAACGGTTTTCCCTCACTCTGTTGGAACGGTTTTTATCAACTACAATGGTTAAAGTTCGTTACCATAACCGTTACCATATCGTTTAATGCAACAGTTATGTAAGATATTGTTACGACTATTTATGGATATGGCAATGATTTCTTTAAGCTATTACAACGGTTTATAGATCATTTTGGAACAGTTTGCAGGTCATGTTGCAACGATTTACATTTTCTATTGGAACGTCATATGATTCCTATTGCAACGGTTCTGGTAGGCTATTGCAACAGTTTAATTGAAACGAAAATATTGTCCTTGTTGTAAATAAATATTTATATATAGAATAAACTATAAAACACTAAAATTTATATAAATAACAAAATAAAACTATTCATGGTCTATATTGTCTAACAAGCTAATAATATCCATAAAAGTAAAATGTTCTACTCCAAGTACATAAGTTTTACAATTCAAGAGTTAAGAGTAAGTTTTATAATGTTGATAACGAACATTCCTAGACCATGCATCTACATCAATTCAAAATTCTTTAAGTAAGGTCTAGATCTCCACTGCCTTCGTCTTCCGTTTCTTCATATACTCCACCTACAAAAGAGTGTAAGTAAAGTCATTATCCTTCCATAAAAATTAACATACAGCTAGGGGTGTCAATGGATATTTCAAAATCGACTAAATCGACCGTACCGTAGTGCACCGAACCGATTTCTAGGTTTCTTTTAAAGAAACCGTATAATTTTATATAAATATATAACCGCATCGATAATTAGGATTGGTTTTTAATTTTATAAAAATAAACCGAAAAGATACTGAACTGTACCGAATAAATTTTATATATGGAAAATATATTATATAGAAAGTTTAAAAATAATAATGCATTAAATTTTTCTCCGGACCTTGGAATTATGAAAACTGTTACAAGTCAACAAATAATCAAACTCAATACTAATTCCTAAAACCTATTATGCTACTTCTACTTAAACTTTTGTTATTTCAAGTATCTTCATTAGCAAGACACAAAATATTCTAGCGATTATGAGTAGCAAACTACAATGTATTGAATATATGTCCTTTCATATAATTTAGATTTATCTTTTTGAATATTTAATCTTCTATATACTTTATTCTTGAGTCTCGGTTTGGTTAATATCTTTCCACTTGTGTGATTTATATTTTCTTTGCATTTGCTTGGTTTCTTTTACGTTATTGTAGAATAGTTGATGGATCTATACTCTAGCCATTTTTTTTAATTCATCACCCTTTAAATAGTAAAAATGTATAGAATTTTGCTAAGTCTTATAAAGGACATATGTTATCGCATTCTACTTCTATTGGTGAATTTTACATGATATTTTAAAAAATACCGAAAATTAACCGAACCATACCGATACCAAAGAGAAACCGACATGATTGTAACGGTTTCGAAAAGTCTAATTTTTGTTATACATAATAAAATAATCGAAAAATTGGTATGATACAAATTTTATAAAATAACCGACCGAACCGAACCATCGACACCCCTACATACAACTCTCGAAATGGACAAGCAGCACCAAAACATTGTAAAAGAAGGGCAACGAAAAAAAAGAACATGACATTCAACTTGATCAGTTGCAAGATCTAATTGAGTTTCAGTTAAATAGTGAGCAAGCATATCTATATGAATAGAGCAAAAACCAAAGAAAAAGAAGAGTCGTTGACAAATAACCGGCCAGGACTAATGTTGAACAAAACAATGGACTAATCTTTAAAATAGTTTCTTCTCTAATGTTTCAAAAGTCACAACTTCATTATGAAAAAGAATAAATACACATCTAGGACAGGTCTTAGGCCATAATATATACTTAAACTAATAATAAGAAGAAGAAGAGAACCAAATGGTCGTCTGATCAAACTATGACCAGTTGCAATGGAAACCAAACAGACATGATCATGAATCTCACTCAACTTCCATGATTATACAAAACCTATTATCAATGGCCTTGAATGGAAACAAGCCAAACCATGCCATCTTAGCTCATCTTTGAATACAATCACATGAAACAAAGGAGGCAACACCAAGACAAGAATAATGCACACATTGCTCCTAACAAGTGACAAGAATCATCAAAATTGTATACCAACAATGCCACAAAAGTCACTGCTAAAACCACTAGCCATATTTTCCAAAAATAGTACATGCCTTCACAAAATTTTCTTTCTATTAAGATGATTAGATACCATTCCAACACTTTCAAGTGCATAAACAACTACACCAAGTGTAACGACCCGGCTGGTTGTTTTGAGATTTAGAGCCCCGATCCCCTAATATCTACTTTTCCCATATTTGCTTCTACTTTTGGGACTTGCCAGAGTGATTGGTTATGAGATTCTGAGAGTTTTAGGACACTTAGTCCCTAGTTGTGAGTTTAAGCCTTAGAGTTTGGACCGTAGTCGGAACTGTGCGAAGACGGATCCGAAATAGAATTCCGTCGACTCCATTAGCTCCGTTGAGTAATTTTGGGGTTAGGAGCGCGTCCTGAATGTGTTTTGGAGGTCTATAGTAGATTTAGGCTTGAATTGACAAAAGTTAGTTTATCGGCGATTTCGGCCGATAGTGGAAATTTTGATATCAAGCTAGGAATGGAATTTCGAAAGTGGCTATAGGTTCGTAGTGCCATTTGTGACTTGTGTGTAAAATTTGAGGTCATTCAGACTAGATTTGATGTGGTTCGACGTCAGTTGTAGAATTTGGAAGATTTTAAAGTCTTAGGCTTGAATCCGTGCTTAATTCATGATTTTGATATTGTTCGACGTGGTTTGAAGGCTCGACTAAGTTCGCATGGTATTTTAAGATTGGTTGGTATGTTTGGTTGAGGTCCCGGGAGCCTCGGGTGTGTTTCGAATGCTTAACAGGTGAAAGCTTGGACTTAGAGGAATTTCTTATTTATGCTGGTTCTGGTGTTTTCGCACTTGCGGTGGGGAGTCCGAAAGTGCGGCCTCGCAGAAGCGAGGCTTGCAGGCGCAGATGCGAGAAAGTCGAGAGTTGGCATGGGGTCGCAGGTGCGAGGAAGTTCCGCATCTACGATGCCCGCAAATGCACAGAAGCGGAAGGGATGTCCGCAGGCGCACGCGCCGGTGCGGCCCTTACGTTGCACGTGCGAGGGCAGAGGGGGCAAGTGAGTTACGCAGATGCGCACATTTTCCGCACAAGTGCACCCGCAAGTGCGAGCCCAGGTTCCGCAGATGCGGAAATACCTGGATAGTGATTAAAACCAAAGGGCTTCACGATTTTTATCATTTTTGGCTTTGCAAACTCGAGTTAGGGCGATTTTTGAGAGCATTTTAGAGGCATTTATTGAGGTAAGTTCCTTGTGCTTATTTTTTGTCAATAATCTTGCTTTGCCATGTGTTTTCCCACATAGCTAATGTGTATTTAAGGTGAAAATTGGAAGTTGGAGGCAAGGGATTTGGAAGTTTGAATTGTGGATTGGAGGACCATTTGTTGTCAGAGTTTTAGTAAATTTGATATGGTTAGACTCGTGAGTGCATGAGTTTTCTAGTTTCGTGAATTTTGTCGGGTTTCGAGACGTGGGCCGGGTTTGAGCCAATTTCGGGTTTTGGCCTAATTTTGTAGTTTTTCTTGTGGGATTCATTCCATTGGCACGTATTGATGGTATTGTACTGTTTTGAATAGATTCGGGACATTTGGAGTCGGATACTCGTGGCAAGAACGTGATATCAAGTTGATTTGAGCGGTTCGAGGTAAATGACTTGCCTAACCTTGTGCTGGGGACTTCCCCCTTAGGATATCTTGATATTATTTGGTATGTGGGCGCCGTGTAGGTGATGTGAAGAGTACGTACACGGGTTATTATTGCAAAAATCTTGTTTAACCTTTTTAAATCATAAATTATTTCT